AGGCATTTCAGCGGGAATGGGGCGACCCGTGGAGTCGCGGCCACACAAGGTGCAATAGTCATTGCTGCAGAAGGACAAACTTTCCAGCTCCAGAGCCTCCTGTGGCAGGAAGCCACCCTCCCCGCCCCGTAAATACGGGAGATGAGTCGCACTCACATCTGGGCTGCCACAGTTGGTCTCGCTTCTTGCACCTGCCTCATCCGAGTGGCTCTGTAGGAACAAAGATGGCAGCCTGGCCGCCACATCTTCCACGTGCACATACCTGCTCCGGGGCTCGTGCTGCTCGGGCCCGGGGGCAGGGCCACAAAGCTCCTCCTGAGGCGTCACTTTGCTCTTTGCCAGTGTCTTGAAGGAGAGCAGGGAAATGACGTCCTGAGCTCCCAGACCAAGGACTCCATCCACAGGCGTTTTGCTCAGGTTGGCAGCCTCGTCTCTTGTGAGCTGGCCGTGCGCCTCGTTCCGTCCCACCCAGTCCTGCAGCGAGGAGCAGCAAACGCTGCTTAGCAAGGGGAGGCCGAGTTTGCAAAGGACGTCTTGGCAATGGCAAGCAGGCCAGGGGCCGAATTCAGTTCTGCCTCAGTGCAACTCCACTGAGTGACCCAAGTAATGGAGTGGTGGGCGACCCAGGCCCCGGCCTTCACTCCCGAGTCATGCCCTAAGCAGCCTCTGCTGTTTTGGCTCCCGGACTACTTAGCAAAGGAAGGCGGAAGGGCATAAGGAAAAAGACACTTCACTAGTGAGGCAGGCGATGCTCCCAGGGTTTGATTTTGCACGTGCCAGGTGCTGGCTGGACCCATTGTAATTTCTGAGCATCAGAAGCAATGCTAATTTACCCAGCAGGCCTCAAAGGCTAGGGGGCAGGGGACTTGACATCCTGTGGGTTAGCAACAAAGCTCATCCAAAACCACAAGCCCCCAGGAGAGGAGGGGTGGAGACAGCAGAGAGGAAGGAGACTGACCCAGGAGAACTGCTTTCAGCTGCAAGGGAAAGGCCTCACAAAGGGGCAGTGACTCTCCCTGCTGTGCCCCCACTGCCCGGGGTATTAGCAGCTGGATTTAGCAGGGCAGTACGTGCAGGCTGGCTCAGAGAGTCTGGCTGGACATGGAAGAGGCTGCTAGCTGCAGTTGTGGGTGTGATTGGAAAGGTCCAGTGAGGACCAGGCCACAGGATATGGTGGTGGTGCAAAGGAAGAGAGGCAGGGACTGGGACAGGCCCAGATGGGAGGGCTTCATTTCTAGGAGGAGATGAGGTTGGTGATGGAGCAGGAGGAATATGGAGGCAGGTGTCTCAGAGCAGAAGGGGGGGACTTCCAGGTAGACTGAAGCCCTGTGCCAGCATTAGCCAGGTGAAAGCAGCGATGGGGCCCCACAAGCCACCTTCCCGCCCCGGGGAGAAGGATCACGAAGAAGAAAGAATTTGCTGTTACCTTAAAATTCCCATTGTGCAAAGTGTAGAGAGGCTGGAAGAAAGCAGCTGGGGTGGGAACCTTCAGACCGAAGAAGTTCTTTGCCCTGTGGAGAAAGAACGACAGTTCTATCAAACCCAGCGACATGTTCCACCTTCTGCTGCAGCCCTCCAGCACCCTGGGACAGATAAACTGGCACACTTCACCCTCCTCTGGCCACCCTTCAGAAAAGGCCCATTTCATATGGCCACACAGCTGTGTGCATTTCACATTGTGGCAGGGCGTTGCCCCGCGCTGGCCCTTTATGGGGCTGGGAGCCGGAGTGAGGGAAGCCCAGCTGAGGCATGTGAGGAGGGCCCTGCCTCCCGGCCTGCAATGAGAGAGGTAGTCGTGGCCGGGGCTCTCATGGAGGCAGCCCTAAAAGGCCAGGCTGCAAGGAGGCAGCTGCGGTAGGCTGGGGGAGTTTGAGCCAGGGAAGCCCTAGGCCATAAGACTGTAAGGCAGGGTTGCAGGAGGCGCGCCCGTGGCCAGGGCGAGGGGCCTGGAGAAACTGCAGTGTGCCCGGAGGGGCTAGAGAGGGACTGGCAGTAGGCCACTGAGGCCAGGAGGGTGCAGCAGGGAAGAACTAGGGGTCCTAGGGAGTAGGGAGGACCCTGGAGGAGGACCAAAGCAAGAACAATGACTCCCCCTCCCCGGAAGGGGCACAGACCAAGGCTGTATCTACATTGGCATGATTGTGCGCAAAAACGTGCTGCCTGTTTACACTGGCGGGGAGTTCTTGCACAAGAACACTGACGTTCTAATGTGTGAAATCGGGGCTGCTTGCGCCAGCACTCAGGAATAAGCCCTTTTGTGCAACTGTTCTTGCGCAAGAGGCCAGTGGAGACAGGCAACATGAATTTCTTGTGCAAGAAAGCCCGATGGTTAAAATGGCCGTCGGAGCTTTCTTGCGCAAGAGAGCGTCCACACTGGCACGGATGCTCTTGTGCAAACGCACATGCCAGTGTAGACGCTCTCTTGCGCAAATACTCTAACGCAAAAACTCTTGTGTTAAAAGTATTTGCGCAAAATCTTGCCAATGTAGACGTAGCCCAAGAGCGGAGTAGTTACTGCCGGAGGACAGTGACCTCAAGAGGACACCTCACCCAAAGGGGGCGCGTCAGCTTTGGAGCAGCCAGTGGCTTCCCCACAAGCCACCCTGAAGGAAGAAGCCGTGTGTAAAAGTGAGTGAACCTGCTACAATAGCAACAGACTATCTGGCAACAACTCGCCCAGATGGATAAAATGAATCTTTGCTAGTCGTCAGTGCAGATTCCTTCAAGGTTTCTGAGTTTGAATGTGTGTTGCAGTGCAACAGTGAGACAGAACCGCTCCCCTTTGTATGGCTGCAGCTAGCAGGGCATTTTACCGCAACCGTTTGGTCCAAACCACCCCAGAACTTTTCCAGGAATGAAGCGTCTTACAGAAGTATTAGGCTAATTGCATTGAGAGATCAGATAGCTTTCTTTGATAGGATAACGAGCCTTGTGGATAAGGGAGAAGCGGTGGATGTCATATACCTAGACTTTAGTAAGGCATTTGATACGGTCTCGCATGATATTCTTATTGATAAACTAGGCAAATATAACTTAGATAGGGCCACGATAAGGTGGGTGCATAATTGGCTGGATAACCGTAGTCAGAGAGTTGTTGTTAACGGTTCTAAATCCTGCTGGAAAGGGATAACAAGTGGAGTTCCTCAAGGGTCTGTTTTGGGACCCGTACTATTCAATATCTTCATCAATGATGTAGATATTGGGATAGAGAGTACGCTTATTAAGTTTGCAGATGATACCAAACTGGGTGGGGTTGCAACTTCTTTGGAGGATAGGGACATAATTCAAAATGACCTTAGCAAGTTAGAGAAATGGTCAGAGGTAAACAGGATGAGGTTTAATAAAGAGAAATGCAAAGTGCTCCACTTAGGAAGGAACAATCAGTTCCATACATACAAGATGGGAAGCGACTGTCTAGGAAGGAGCATGGCGGAAAGGGATCTAGGGGTCATAGTGGACCACAAGTTGAATATGAGTCAACAGTGTGATGCTGTTGCAAAAAAAGCAAATATGATTCTAGGTTGTATCAACAGGTGTGTTGTAAGCAAAACTCGTGAAGTCATTCTGCCGCTCTACTCTGCACTAGTTAGGCCTCAGCTGGAGTACTGTGTCCAGTTCTGGGAGCCACATTTCAAGAAAGATGTGGAGAAATTGGAAAGGGTACAGAGAAGAGCGACAAGAATGATTAAAGGTTTAGAGAACATGACCTATGAAGCCAGGCTTCATGAACTGGGCTTGTTTAGTTTGGAAAAAAGAAGATTAAGGGGGGACATGATAGCGGTTTTCAAATATCTAAAAGGGTGTCACAAGGAGGAAGGAGAAAATTTGTTCCTCTTGGTTTCTGAGGACAGGACAAGGAGTAACGGGCTTAAAGTGCAGCAGGGGAGGTTTAGATTGGACATTAGGAAAAAAATCCTAACTGTCAGGGTGGTCAAATATTGGAATAAATTGCCAAGGGAGGTGGTGGAATCTCCCTCTCTGGAGATATTTAAGAACAGGTTAGATAGACATCTGTCAGGGATGGTGTAGACGGAGCTTGGTCCTGCCTTGAGGGCGGGGGGCTGGACTCAATGACCTCTCGAGGTCCCTTCCAGTCCTATTATTCTATGATTCTATTATTCTAACCCTGAACTGTTCCTTCTGCCTTCTGGAAGGTCTCAGCTGGGCTGAGGTTGCCCCAGCCTGGATGGGCATTGCCAGTCCAAAGGCAGGAGAGTCAGGGTCAGAGAGCAGAGGCAGTATTGTCTTAGAATCAGGAGGCAGGAAGTGGCTCAGAGTCAGGCTGGAGTCAGATGCACTGAGCCAAAGTCTGTGTGGCTCCTGGGGAAAGCCTGGGGGCTAAATAGGGCCACCTGGCCAGTCAGAGAACAGCAGGGTACTCGCTCTGCTCTTGTGGGTGGTGCGTCCTTCCACAGCGCTCCTTGGCTGTAGCTCTGCAGGGTCTCCCGCTGGGGCTGTGGGAAGATGAGCGGCCCCAGGTTCTGTTAGACCTCGGTTCTAACTCCTGTCTCTTTCGACGTTTCCCCATTGTCACTAACACTAGCCAGATTCAGCCCCATACTGCAGCACCTTCACGCCACTCAGGAAACTCCTTGTTTCTGCAAAGAGATGCACCTCTCAAGAGTGCCCACGTGTTGGGGCTTGCCAGTGGCAGATCCGAACCACTTCCTCTTTACCGCTGGCCCTTTGTTCTGCCAAGAACTTAAGAACATGAACTCTTGATCAGCTGGCTGGGTCACACTGGCACGTCACACCCTAGATACTGTAGTTCCTGTTGGAAGTGTCCAGCTCAGGAAGGCAGATTGATCATCACTAGCCAATGCTGCACATCGGTCACCCTTCCTCTACATCTATGCAAAGTAGCACAACAGTTTGTAAATGTCTTCGAACTACAGGAGACCTTGTGCACCCTGGGCCCTCTGCTCAGCGGGTATTGGCTCATTAGCAATTGCACGCTCATGGAGACAGCAAGCCTGAGAGTGGGCACACCGAGCCTATGGCATTCAAAGATCTCATTCTGATGCCGAGGCAGGAGTCAGACCTGATGCATGGACACATGATATACACTCACTAAACTTTAAAACTACTTGTCACTAGAAAAGGCAGCAGTGGTTTGTGTGAAGGACTGTACTGTACCTCGAGGAAAGCCTGGCGTTCAGAATGATGTAGAGAATGACAACGAGGCATACGGGAATGAACATCATGTGTATCATGCTTGTGCCAAAGGACGGTCTAGGCTCCCGGAAACCTATCAAAAGAATTATTCCATTAACAGAATCAACTAACAAAGGACCCTGTCAAAAGTGGAATTCAATCCAGATTCTTGGAGAAACAAGCAATGCAAATGAACCTCGCTGCTAAAACCTTGTAAGAACGGGGCCTGACTATCAAAGGCTGGAAGACTCTGATCTTGAGCCATGAACTGGCTGCTGACGGCCCCTCCATTTCCCAGCTTGACCCTTTCTCCTTCTGTTTCAGAAAGGTACTTCAGGGCTCATACAAAACAAGGAGTTAGGGAACAACGTTCTTTGCACCTTCTCTTCGAAATTCAGTTGTCTGGCTCCACTCACTCCACTGGCTTTTATAAGTATTCTTCTCTTGGGAAGTTTTGCAGCGAATTCTTGCAGTATAATTGATGCCTGCTTCAAACTCTATAGCTTCGATATCTACCTCTGTCGCTGAGCTGAGCAGCTGTTTGTGCTGGGCCTGCTGAAAATTAGCAAGAGAAAGCTCTGTTAGGCCCACACAACAAAGGGCTGGGATGCGGAACAATTGGACAACTCCCTAGTCAGGCCTGGCATTCTTAGGTGCAAGTCTGAGGTCCGTGAATACTCCCATCTGAGCCCTGCATTCAGGAGCCTTCTCTGCTCACAAGGCCTCACGATACCAGAGGCAGGATTCCGATGGGAAGGACTCACAAACCTCACGTAACAATGTCATGTAAGGGAGGCAGCAGCCTCAACTAGGGGTGCCCGGGGTGTTTGCTGAGCACCTGTTCCCACAGTCTCACTCTCAGTGGCCCAAGCTGGACAAGCGATGGACAGAGCTCGTCAAGGGGAGGCTAGTTCAGCATGAAAACCCCTCGATGGGGCTGCCAGGACAGACGCCCCCCAGAGTCCTTGCTGAGCCGGAGGGGGCCTCTGCTGAGCATGTGCAGAGCTTCTTGGGTTGTTTTCATAGGTTCTCTGGACTGCTTGTGCTTGCTTGGTAAGGGATGGGGGCAGGGACAGTTGTTCCGCACCCCGGAGGGAAAGCAAGGGGCAGCCGTGGCCGGTGTAGGTGGACTGGCTTGCTGGGAAGAGCCCAGTGCAGACTGGAAAGCCCAGGCCAGGAGGGAGAGAGACACAGGTCCCTGCCTAAGAGAGGTGATGGCCGAGGAGCTGGCAGCCTAGTGCCGGTGCCCTTGGGGGACCACCCAGCAGAACATGGGGGCAGTTGCTCAGAACCGTGGCTGCAGGCATTCGTGCCTGCTTCGGCCAGGCTGAGCGCTGGGTTTGTTACCTCCCAGGAGGCGCCGTGTTTCTTATACGACAATTCAAACTGAAGCATTTTCTGTAGCCTCTCTGGTACACTCCACTGGAACCGACACAGACTGGCACTCAAGTTGCTCTGCAGGTTGAAGGGAGGGTCGCACTTAACTGGGAACAGAGAGAGGAGTTACTCCCAGTACTCGGCTGTGGGAGACGTGGAGAGCACAGAGCACAGTCCCAGGCTGCTCGCGGCTGGGGGCATCACTGTGGTTCCACAAATCCCCTGATCCTGGGGCCAGCGGGACACAAAGCAACCCCCAGTGCAGGTTAAAGCAGCCACCTGGCTTCTGGAAGTGAACACCAGCTGCAATGATCCCCAAGAGGCTGCTCTGCCAGCGAGGGCTCACAGAGCCGTGAATGCTCCAGCCCCTCCCACCATGAACACGCCAACAAGCTCTGAGCTGGGGGCAGGGACCAGAGGGCTGCTGCACAACGGGAGAGTCCTAAATCTTAAATCAGGCAACATGTTCCACAGAATTTCCCTGGATAGTAATTCCATGCTCCAAGAATAAGAAGAGACCAGTTGCGATATACCATCGACTACCTGACCAGGATAGTGCTAGTGACTCCAAAAGAGGAAGATTAGAGAGGCTATAAACATCAAAAACTCAATAATAGCAGGGATTTCAACTGTCCCCATATTGACTGGGGACACGTCACCTCAGAATGGGATGCAGAGATAAAATGTTTTGATACCTGAAGTGACTGCTTCTTGTAGCGATTGATTCTGGAACCCACAAGGGGAGAGGCAGTTCTTGGTTTAGTCCTAAGTGGAGTGCAGGATCTGGTCTAAGAGGTACATATAACTGGACCGCTTGGACATAGTGACCACAATGTAAGAAAATTTAACATCCCTGTGGTAGGGAAAACACCTCAGCAGCCCAGTCAACCTGTGGAACTCCTCGCCAGAGGATGTGGTGTAGACTAGGACTTTAACAGGGTTCAAAAATCAGCTAGCTAGATTCCTGGAGGTTACGTCCATCAATGGCTATTAGCCAGGATGGGTGGGGGTGGTCTCCCTAGCCTCTGTCTGGAGGTGGGTGATGGGGCGGGATCACGTGAGGATTCCCTGTTGTGTTCCCTCCCTCTGGGGCACCTGGCCTTGGCCACTGTGGGCCGACAGGACGCTGGGCTGGACGGGCCGTTGGTCTGACCCACCCTGGCCGTTCTGATGTTCTTATGTCCGTTAGGCAGCTCTTCGGGACACTCTGCATTGGGAAGGGGCCTTTTGTCCCCAGCCCTTCCCCCATTCCAGCAAACAGTGCTACTGTCTTGCTGTGGCCCTGCCTGGGCCTGCCAGCAGGAGGAGCCCCACTGTTCAGAGGGCGGGGGGGCTCGATGGTAGATAACAGGGCAAGGGAGGGTGGGGGCAGGATGAGAGATCTCTGCCCCCGTATGTAACAAGTGCAGGCCATGCTGCCCAAGGGGCCGCACTGGCTGCATCTCCATCAATCTCACGTTGTGCCACTGAAGAGTCGCTCTTGGAACTTCACAGGCCAACTGTTCCCCGTGCTGCGGGCCAGGCGGCCTCCTCCCATACCTGCCATGGGCGGTACTCACTGTTCAGCTTGGCTTTGTATTCCGGGAACGCAACGTACGCACGGTCCCCCCCCGAGAAACTGCCATGCAGCGAGACTCGGAAGCTCTCGTACTCCGTTAACTGGTCTGTCCTGTTCATGGTGCAGTGCAGTTGGCTCTGCAGCTGGTCTCGGGCAGCGAGCGTGCAGCTGGAGTTCTCGTCCCCGACTAAGCTGGAATAATTAAGGGGCGGGAAGTTTCTCGTGGACAGGGTGTGGCTGCTTAACGGTGCATGTGCCAGTCGCCACAGTGAGGAGCACTTTGCACAGGGCCTGTTGAACTGGGCTTTCAGGTTGTAAATGCCACGGAAGGCAGCCCTGGGTGCAGCGAGCGCCTTGTGCGGCGGAGTGGGAAGAGGACGGCAGGTGAAAGCCAACCCCACCAGCGAGGAGCTGGAGGGTGACTCAGGCGTTGGGTTTGTGGGCGAATTCTGGGTCAGAGTTCAGTGCCAAGGAATCCAGAGAGCCCAGACTGCCCCGGGGCCCAGCACAGCCCGCCACGAGGATGCACGGAGCTCACCTTGTGAAATGCACCTGGAAGGGTCCGTCCCCCACACTCTTCTCTGGCTCCCACACACAATCTACCTGTTTGATGTAGTTATTCACACAGCTCAGGTTGCCAGGAAATTCTGCTGAGGAACGAGCCGAGATGCTCAGCATGCGTGCAACCAACAGCTGGCCTCGGCCCCTCCGCCACGCTGGGCCCAGGCCGCCCCTTGCGCTAGGCTGCTCTGTCTGTCCCACCCCCACCCCTTGCTGGCTTATTGCCGTATGGAGTGCGACTGTAAACTCCTAGGGCAGGGCACAGGTGGGAGTTTCTCTGATCTCTAAGCTGAGGAGGGGAAACGGGCCCCGAAGGCTCTCTGACCTGTCCTGTTCTGGGGGGGGAAGTGGAGAGAGAGAGAGTGGGGGAGAAAGAACCAGCCAGATGAAGGCCTCCAGTCGTGGCTGCCCCTTACCTCTTCCTTCCCCTCCTGCAGAGAAGAAAATGGCAGCAATGCAGAGTGGCAGGCTCTGGCGCCAGATGTGCTTTCCCATGGTAAATGTGTCTGAAATACAAAGTATGTTGGGGCAGAAAGGGCTTTGGGTGTCTCTATGGCAACATACAGAGGTGTGTCAATCACCAGCCCTGCATCTGCTCTCCTCCCGGCAGCCCCCCTGCGAAAGCCAATATTTAAAAGGGCTCTAGAGGTGATCGTGGCAATTACAGACCAGTAAGTCTAACGTCGGTATCGGGAAAATTAGTCGAAACAACAGTAAAGAATAAAATTGTCAGACACGTAGAAGAACATAATTTTTTGGGAAAAAGTCAACTTGATTTCTGCAAAGGGAAATCCTGTCTTGCTAATCTATTCGGGTATGTCCACACTGCAAAGTTAATTTGAAATAACAGCCGTTATTTCGAATTAACTTTAATAGCATCTATACATGCAAACGGCTATTTCGCAATTAATTTGAACTAGTGGAGCGCTTAATTCGAATTCGGTAAACCTCATTCCACGAGGAGTAACGCCAAATTGGAAATAGCTATTTGGAATGAAGTGCTGTGTAGACACTTAACTCGAAATAGGGGGCCTCCAGCCTTCCCAGGGAGCCCTGGTGGCCACTCTGGGCACAACCAGGAAAACTTCCTCTGCTCTCCCCCAGCCCCGGAGCCATTAAAGGAGTAGACCCTGGCCACAGTGCCCGTGCCAGCTCCAAGCCTGGCAGCCCAGAGCCAGCAGTCGCTGCACCTGACCTAGTGGCCCCAGCAGGAGCCAGGCAGCCAATGCCAGCCAGCCCTCCACCACTCCCCAGGACCAGTCTGCCAGCTCCCAGGAGCCTGCTTGGAGCCGGAAAAGGCAGGCGCCTGCCTGGGCCAGTGCAGAGACCAGGGACCTAATTCAGGTTTGGGGGGGATGCCTCCAATGTTCATGATCTCCGCACTAAACAGAGGAATGCAACCCCACATGAGAACGGGCTAGCTGCCAGCCTGGCCACCAAAGGCCACATGCGAACCCAGGAGCAGGTTTGCATGAAAATCAAGTTGGTCCGGCAAGACCCCCAACCTTGGGGCCCTAAGTTTCCCCTCCCCCTTCTTCCCCTTGCTTCCTCCTTCCAGCTCCCTCCTCCCAGGTTTCCCCCTCCCCTCTTCCACCCTCTCTCTTCTCCTCTCTCACCTCCTTTTCCCAGTCTCCCCAGAGGTTCATCCCCCCCCACCCCCAGTTTTGTTCAATAAATCCAGTTTCTATTTTTGAACATACATGTCTTTTGTTTGACATCGGGAAGGGGCGGCTAGGGAGGGGTAAGTGGAAGGATGTGAGGGAGGAATGGGGCACAAGCCTCCAGTGGGGAGGACTGGGGTGGCTCTGAGGGCCCCTCGGGATAGACGCTCTCCTGCAGGGCCTCCTGGATCATGACAGCCACCTGATGGACCCCCCTGGATGGCAGCCTGCAGCAAGTGCAGCCGGGCTGATGGCAACGACCCCACGAGATGCACTAACATGCCCAGGGGCAGCTCTGGCTCCATGTAGCCGAGTGCTGTGGTGTCCCGAGTGGGGGCACTCAGGGCACTCCAAGCCAGGACTGCTTTGCTGTCCCTCATCGAGGTAGACAAGCAAGTGGGAAACCCTGAGAACTGTCTGTCTGGGGTGGGGGTAGGGTCCCTTTAAGCACAGAGCTCAGTTAGCAGCCCCATATACTAAGTCCTAAGCTGATGCCCTGCTGACACTGGTTCCGGCCAGCCTTAACTTCGGTTCAGGGTCCACTCAGTGTGGACGCACTATTTCGAAATAGCAAAACGCTATTTCAAAATAGTTTGTGTGTATAGATACATTAATTCAAATTAACTATTTTGAATTAAGTTAACTCAAATTAACTCTGTAGTGTAGATATAACCCCTTCAAAGAACTCTAAGGGTAACAAACATGTGGACAAGGGGGATCCAGTAGATGTGGCATACTTAGATTTCCAGAAAGCCTTTGACAAGGTCCCTCACCAAAGGCTCTTGTGTAAATTAGGTTGTCCTGGGATAAGAGGGAAGATCCTTTCATGGATTGAGAACTGGTTAAAAGACAGGAAACAAAGGGTAGGAATAAATGGTAAATTTCCAGAATAGAGAGGGAACTTCAAAAAGATCTCACCAAACTGAGTGATTGGGCAACAAAATGGCAAATGAAATTTAATGTGGATATGTGTAAAGTAATGCACATTGGAAAAAACCCCTCCAACTATACATACAATATGATGGGGGCTAATTTAGCTACAACTAATCAGGAAAGAGATCTTGAAGTCATCATGGACAGTTCTCTGAAGACGTCCACACAGTGTGTAGCGGCAGTCAAAAAAGCAAACAGGATGTTAGGAATCATTAAAGAAGGGATAGAGAATAAGATGGAGAATCTCTTATTGTCCTTATATAAATCCATGATATGCCCACATCTTGAGTACTGCATACAGCTGTGGTCTCCTCATCTCAAAAAAGATATACTGGCATTAGAAAAGGTTCAGAGAAGAGGAACTAAAATGCTGAGGGGTTTGGAACGGGTCCCATATGAGGGGAGGTTAAAGCGACTGGGACTTTTCAGCTTAGAAAAGAGGAGACTGAGGGGGGTTATGAGAGAGGTCTATCAAATCATGAGTGGTGCGGAGGGTGAATAAGGAAAAGTTATTTACTTGTTCCCATAATACAAGAACTAGAGGGCACCAAATGAAATTAATGGGCAGCAGGTTTAGAGCTAATAAACCAGCACGGCCATTCTTATGTTCTTGTGACCGAGGGCACTGCAGGGATTACGCGGCCCACAGCTCCTCTCCAGAGCCAGATGCTTTAACTCATCCCTCCACCACCAGCCTCCCGCCTGGACCTAGCACCCTGCAGAGAGACCTGGGAAGAGCCATGCACGCCGATGGCACCGGCCTGTCTTTCACGGTGCTTCTTCGAACAACAGCTCCCCCGGTCCCTTTCTAATCTCTGCCTGCCACCGTCACAGCCTCTGCTGAGCCTCTTCCCTCCTCACCCCTTCTCTTGGCCAGAGGAAGGCCCTTCACCCCGCTGGCGGGGCCTTGTCAGCTGGCATTGGCCTGACCTGTGGCTACAGGGCTGAGGTGTCCGGTGAGATGCCTCCAGCTCGCACAGGAGCAGTGTGACCCTGCTTTGGAAACAAGCCAGCGTGCAGCCCATGTGCTACTCGAAGGGGCAGCGAACCCGCCGGAGGGCAGAAGGTGTCCAGGAACCAGAGCATCGGGGGAAGGGAACACAAGGTGCAGACTCAGTCAAACCCAAGAGCTGTGAAAGGAGCTGTCTTCACCCAGCAGCAGCTGAGGAGCGTCGGCGCCTGACAGCGAGGCCTGCAGAGGCCTGGTCGGGCGAAGTTGGGGAGCTGAGCCGGGGCAGGCTCTGACATGGCTCTCTCCCACTAAGGGCATGTGGTATGCAGGTGCCTGCAGCCCTAGGTACCTGGAAGGGCCTCTCAGGCTCAGAGGTGACACATCCAGAACAAGAGCTACGCCTGGACGCTGAGAGAACAAGGCGCGAGGGGAGGGGAATTGGCCACTGAGACAGCTGCCCTCGGGCTGTGGTGTATCCTGCAGCACTGGAAGACTCAAACAGGCATTATGGGCTGATGCCGGGCCCGGGCGAGGGACTGCAGGCTGCACTCTGTGGGCCATCTGGCTAGGGTGACCAGGTGTCCCAATCCTGGGGGCTTTGTCTTGTGGAGGACCCAGTAACCCCACCCTGCCCCCTTGGCCAGACTAGAGGAGAGAGAACGTGGCTTTCTCCTCGCCGCCCAAGAGACTGTCCAGCTGCAGCCACAGGGCCAGAGTGGTGGAGGTCAGTGACGTAGCCTGTGCTTATCCCGGTGCTGAATTTGGCCCATCCTGGGGTCACTTGCTACTCCCCAGGCATCTTAGGACCAGGAGTCTGAAAGTCACCCCCGCCCAGTGGCCCTGGGAGATTTGCTGCCTCGTGTCTGATAGGATTCCACTGGCCTGTCTGTCCCAAGGCCGCAGGCCTGGCACGTGGGGCCGTGCGCTGCCAGGTTCTCCGTGGGGTGGCCCTGGAGCTCTTACTACGCCATGCAGCGCTGCCCTCGCCGTGCACTGTGAGCGCAGCCCTGGGGCCGGGCTGCTGCTCTCTGGCTGGCACCCGAAACGCCGACCGACGTCCCGCGGAGCTTTTCCTGCCTCACTCGCACTCGGGTTTTGTGGCAGCTGCTGAGTCCCAGCAGGAGGCCCTGCCCAGTGGCGTGGCAGCAGGGGAGCTGGTGCTAGGGGACCGGGTGGGGGGCTGCAGCTCCCCCTGGCTAGCAACGGTTTCCATTCTCGCCAGGGACTGCAGTTTGGTTCAGTGGCTCTCTGCGCCCCTCCCCCAACACCTGCACGACAGGCTAGTGTGGTTTTCAGCCTGACCACAGGCGAGAGGCCCTGGGCATCCCAAGCGAAGGCTCCTGGTCTGCTCAAATTCCGGGCTGAGTCTGCACCTTGTGTTCCCTTCCACAGACACAGGCCACATGGGAGTTACCCAGACCCTGCGCTCCAGCCAGCGGCTCGGGGAACCTCAGAGGCAGAGGAAAGGGCTCAACATGACCCCCTGCAAGTGCTGAGCAACCTCTGTCTGCAAGGACGGGGCAGCCACAACTCACCCGCTTCTGGAGAGCTGCAAGGCTGCCAGCTTTACGGCCACTGCCTGCTGCCCACACAAGCCCTGGCTGGCACGGGCAGTTTGACCGGGAGCAGCAGCAACTCACACCCCTGGAGAGCCAGGCCAAATGCATCTCCCCAGCGACCGGTGGGCACAAGCCCAAACAGCAGTGTGCCACCAGAGTGCAAAGGGCAGAGCAGGGCTCGGCTCGGGGTGGGGTTGCCAGATGGTCTCCCAAAAAATACCAGACACCGGTATTTAAAAAAAAGGAACGTAGGATAAGTGGCGATCACAGCCCCGCCTCCCAGCTGGGACTCACAGGCGGGGAGGCGGGGCCACGATCGGTGCTGGGCAGGGACGGATATACGGCAGGGCGAACGGGGCGGCTGCCCCGGGCCCCGCACTTCAGAAAGCCCCGCGCATGCGCCGTGGCAAAGCGGGGCCCCGCGGAAGTCTGCTGCCCAGGGCCCCGCAAAACCGTCATCTGCCTCTGGCGCTGGGAGCCTGTGATTGCGCAGAAGCCCGGCGGGGGCGGGGAGAGCGGCTAGGAGGCGGGGCCACGATCGGTGCTGGGCAGGGACGGATATACGGCAGGGCGAACGGGGCGGCTGCCCCGGGCCCCGCACTTCAGAAAGCCCCGCGCATGCGCCGTGGCAAAGCGGGGCCCCGCGGAAGTCTGCTGCCCAGGGCCCCGCAAAACCGTCATCTGCCTCTGGCGCTGGGAGCCTGTGATTGCGCAGAAGCCCGGCGGGGGCGGGGAGAGCGGCTAGGAGGCGGGGCCACGATCGGTGCTGGGCAGGGACGGATATACGGCAGGGCGAACGGGGCGGCTGCCCCGGGCCCCGCACTTCAGAAAGCCCCGCGCATGCGCCGTGGCAAAGCGGGGCCCCGCGGAAGTCTGCTGCCCAGGGCCCCGCAAAACCGTCATCTGCCTCTGGCGCTGGGAGCCTGTGATTGCGCAGAAGCCCGGCGGGGGCGGGGAGAGCGGCTAGGAGGCGGGGCCACGATCGGTGCTGGGCAGGGACGGATATACGGCAGGGCGAACGGGGCGGCTGCCCCGGGCCCCGCACTTCAGAAAGCCCCGCGCATGCGCCGTGGCAAAGCGGGGCCCCGCGGAAGTCTGCTGCCCAGGGCCCCGCAAAACCGTCATCTGCCTCTGGCGCTGGGAGCCTGTGATTGCGCAGAAGCCCGGCGGGGGCGGGGAGAGCGGCTAGGAGGCGGGGCCACGATCGGTGCTGGGCAGGGACGGATATACGGCAGGGCGAACGGGGCGGCTGCCCCGGGCCCCGCACTTCAGAAAGCCCCGCGCATGCGCCGTGGCAAAGCGGGGCCCCGCGGAAGTCTGCTGCCCAGGGCCCCGCAAAACCGTCATCTGCCTCTGGCGCTGGGAGCCTGTGATTGCGCAGAAGCCTGGTGGGGGCAGGCTCCCGGTTGCTCCCCCCGCCCCTGCCGGCCTTCTGCGCAATCACGTGCGCCTAGCGCTGATCGTGGCCCCGCCTCCCAGCCGCTCCACCCGCCCCCGCCGGGCTTCTGCGCAATCACGTGCTCCAGAGCCGATCGTGGCCCCAGCTCCCAGCCGCTCCCCCCGCCCCCCCCCGCCG